CATCAAATAGGTTTTGAATTGGAATTCTCCGTTCTATTATCACTAACTGCTTTTCTACCGATCAATTATACTTCAAGGTAGTTGTCATCGCTTATCCTCATTTATAAATCTATTCATGTAAATAATCATTCGGGACACTCGTTCGATATCTATTCTCCTTTATTTAGATTTCACTTTTTGCTAAAGAATACCGGTAAAGTCATATTGGTCTCTCTTCGAACGTTACATTGAAACAAAAACTATTCAAGCATATAACTTGGAGTTAAAACAGTTCCAAAGTGTAATTGACCTAATGTACGAACATGAGCCATAAATCTTTGGTACCTTAGAGAATAAGTGCAAGGATCCGCCATCATGAAAAACATATTGGATAAATTTCAAAAACAAGTATTTTTGAACCATATCCATGTGACAGTTAGTACACTGTAAATAGTTTCATCTTGTTATATATATATAAATTTTTAACAATATTGTAGACTAAAATGTTCTAAACAGTTGAATAAATGTATGTTTGCAAATATACTAATGTAGTTAAATAGCATATTGTTAGACGATAACCGTTTTCCGGTTATCTTTTTATTCAAACTAATTTAGTGTTTTAATAAAACAATAGGAGGTAATTTAAAACAAGTATTATGTCTATCTTCAAAGTATATGACAATTAAAATAATTGGACTACACATAGATTTCTTTTATCTTTTCCATTGCATAACACAATAAAATGTTATTTTATTTAGTTGTAGCATATTTTTGTGTATCCCCAACTTACGGTATAAAAGTGTAGGACGTAAAGCGAATATTTTAATACGTCTAGTAAGAAAAATGAATCAAACAAAACTCACATTATTAGACTTTATCAAAGTTTAAATTGAAATACTCATTCTAGTTTGTTTAGATAAAATGTAGGTTTACAATCAACCCATCTTATTTGATTCATTTCTAATGAAAAGTGTTATGTTTTAACATAGATTCAAGTTTTCAGATAAATTAGCTCATTTACACATCTAGGCTGTTTTATTCCATGATGTATTAGATTTTTTCTAATATTTCAATAAGTCGTGTAGTGGCTTGGTAGTATATCAAGCCCAACATAGGCTATTTTCGCTTCTGGACAAGCCAATTTATTCATTCTACTCAAGCAACACTTTGATCTTGTTACTTAATCGCTATTACAGCTGACGTTTTTTCTATGTTCAAGTGTAAATTACTTTCCCTATTCATCATGTGTTTTTAAATTATTTTTGTTTGAATATAAATATTGAGTAACGCTTGATGAAATGGAGTTGGTTCACATGCCTCCTCCGACCCGTTTTGCTTCGCTCTCTCCACTCCGTTTCTCTGACCGTCTGTGTGGATTGGCGATTGTATGAAATATACGTATTCGAGATCCATTCACGGATTTGGCTTACTTAATTTCGTTATTTATTAACGCGAGTTAAGTCGATAATTACATTCGAGGATTGGTGGCATGTATATTTTATACGATCTTCTCATCCAAAACTATGATCAAATCATCAACAATAATTCAGGTAAAATACAAACATTGACGTTTTATAATCCATCAATAACATTATTCCCAATCTACCTAATTATTGAAAAAAAAGAAACGTGTGTGAAACATTCACATAGCATATTGCACTTAATAAATCTTGGAGTAACTAGTTTGATAACAAGTGTCCGATGTAGCTATGGTATCATGTTTATCTGATGAATTGTTGACAAAATTCCAATTCACTATTCAAATACTTGCATCAGTTATCTTTCCATTTTGTACAAAATTGTAACAAGCTAATAGTACGTTTGATCATATTAAATAATTTGACATTAAAAATAGAATGGGAACTTTATCCTTTTGATAAAGGATAGTAAGAAGAGTAGCATTCAATTCTGGAGATTGGTTTTTATAAGTACATTAATCTTTATTTTAAATTGTAGTCATATAATGCCTTTTGTGGTAAAGTTATCATAACCATGAAGTAGTCAAACATGAAATCTTATGCTAAATAATTTACGTTTATTAAGCAGTAAACTAAATAAATTGGATATATCGGCTCATAAGGCTATTGGTTTGTCAGGTTCAGAACATTCGGATGAAATCAAATTTCTTTGTTTGTCTATATAGATTCAGTACCCATATAATAACCATACAATTCAAGCCATATGAAAGATTAAGAAGGTACAAAATGTAATAAATTTATTTCATCCTACTATATTTGCTACTATTGTTTTAATAAATTTCTTTAGTCACATAGCGTATGAATTTCTCAAAGCGACATATCTATCCATAAATCGTTCATACTTTAGATTATCAACTGACGATATTTTTAACATTCTTTGTGAGGGTATACACATCGCATTTCATTTAAAAGTGTGCATACATTTCATTTGTTAATATTACGTAGTTGTTTACTCAATGTCCACTTCGCATATATATACGAAATCATAGAATATACATTTTATTTTTTCCATGGCCACTAACGCTACTTTCACAAATATTTTAAAAATGCCTTCCTAGTTAAAGTTCTATTGAGTTTGTGTTCTACTTACATGTCATCTGTTATAATAATGTTGAGTTGAATAAATTATGTAACTTTTTATTTGAATAAGTTTCATGTTGTTCAAAGTGTTCTTTTACGTTTGTTGGTCTCAATAAAGAAAACTGGTATCTATTACAGATGAATTCTTGTAAGACACCGTGTTAATTTTTTACTTTGATGCCTTACTTCATTATTAACTGTGTATTTTAATATGCATAAGAGATATAACAATTATGAGAACTATATGAATGAAAGTAAATGTTAGATATCGTGACATACAAGACATATCATGTTGTTTGTTTCCATGATTATGAACTTAACATTTTATGTATTCTTCTAGCAAATCCAATAATTCGTTGTTAAGAATTTTCAAAAGTTATGTTACATATACGGTGTGAATATTTTAGCACATCATTATATCTATTAAATCTATTTATTTAACGCTAAAGTGACTTGAGAGTGTACATTTAATAACTAAAATAAAATGACGAGTATGAAACAATGTGAGGAGTTGGAATTATGAATTACAGTTGATGGTTAAGATGAAAAATTAGATTTAGGGTTTTCATCACGAACTGATATTAGCTGTAATGCCGAAACTCTATTTAACCAAATAGCTCTTTTCTAAAGTCAATATCTTATCATTTATAATCGAATATTTCCATTTCCATTCATTTTTAACTGTAATCTAAAACAACTGATGTGAACTGTGACATCGAGATTCGGCAAACATTTGTGAAAGCTTCTATTTTACGGTTTGTCTAACTTAACTACTGTGGTTTTACACAACAAAGTTTTATTAGTGTATATCAAATCTTTATTAGCTTTGCCGGTGAAAATAATTTATGAAAGAAGTTTGAGCGTCGCTAGACTGCCCTTGAGAGTATCCATCTAATAACCAGTACCAAATGAGTATTACAAATTTATGTGAGGAATTAGAATTGTAATATACAGTTGATTGGAATTAGAAATTACATTCAGAGTTTTCATGACGAACTGACATTAACTATAATGCCAAAACTCTATTTAACCAAATAGATGAGTGAATTTCACGTCAATAATCTGAAACCTATTATCTTATAGGTGATTTGCTCGTTCATACATTATGGTCTCGCAGCTTTTTCATATATTTGACAAATATTTACAGTTCATATGTGGATTAAATAGAGAATACACAACATTTCTTAAATACATATTGTTCACTTTTACATTCAAATAAGTGTTACTACGAGTTACAATCATCATCTCTGTGATATATTAAATTTAATTGTAATCGTAAATATTTTGTCTGTAATTACTAACAATTTTTCTCTCTAGGAATAGTTGTATTACGTAATGTAACTTACAGATTTTTACTTTATTTTTACAAATATGAACTAATCTGATGTTAGTATCAGAAGGGGATTTGTTGAGATTTCAGTCATTTCAATTGTTGAGATTATGAGTCGATTGAAGCTAGGCCACCATGAAAAACCTGGATGCACTGGATATTAATCAACAATTATTTAGTTGAAATGTATTATAGCTATTCAGGGTGTTAGTTTTCTTTTTAGATTAAATCAATATGAATCAAAATTTCATCACAGATCATTGTCAAATAAAGGAGCATTTTATGATTAAGAGGCAACGAATAGTATATTTGTTCTGGCAAGATAATCATTAGTAGCTTGTTTTTTTTTTTATCTAACATCAGATATGAGTAATGTTAGCAATTCATGAATAGTATGTTTATATTTCAGTTGTACTCCAATAAGAATAGCAAATGTTTAAGCTTTTTTATAGTTATTGTTTCTTCTATATTTTAGTTATCATAATCTGTAAGCTAAAGTAATTACGGACGCAAAGCAGATAATGTCAACGAAATATTCATGAAATTAAAATGATTTACAAAATCATATAGGGTTTTCACATATTTTATAGTTACTTGATGGAGTTATTGCAAAAACGCTAATTACAAGTGAGTAGATCATTCCAAGAATTACGTACAGGTACGCATTGAATTTTTAAACGTTTTATCAGCATAGTACACGCGCAATTCCTGGGATATGTCCAGTCATTAGTTTGTGTTATAGCATGTACAAATCATCTGCAAATAATAAACATTGAAGTTTTTAAAATGGACCTCATGTTTATTTCATTACAATTTTGATGTCGAAGGATTTAAAAACCACTGGTAGTAAGCGTTTAAGCTCGCTAGCTCGGTGTGTAAGATTAGAAATTAGATTTCGTTTTTCATCATGAACTGATATCAGCTATAATGCCTAAACTTTATTTAACCAAATAGATGAGTGAACTTCACGTAATAATCTGATACCTATTATCCTATATCTGATTAATTCGCCCATAAATTATAATCTTGCTTATTATTTTTCTAAATCTTATTCAACGATTAATAAGAGAAAATCATTCTTTATATGATAAATAACAACGACAAAAAAAAGAAAGAAAAGAACAAATAAAGATAATTTGCGAGAATAATTTTATTGAATTTTTTTAATATTTAACTTATAGGAATGAACATTTATTAAATAGATTTGAATAAATTATACTTCCATCAATCCACCACGAAATTCTTTTATAGGAAACCAACGTTTTTCATTCATTGTTTTCCACCATTTAGGAATATGTGATCTTTGATAACTAAAATATAATAATTTATTTGTATATTTTTTTAAAATACATTTCTAAAGTGAAAATGTTACCGATACTATAGAATTAGATTTATGTTACTGTTTTCTTACATAATTTATAAAATAAGTTTTATAGTAAGATAGATTATTAATTATTGATTATGATGGTGTTTTATTCCCTGGGGTGGATAGTTTAGTTGTGAAACTTTTATTATTCTTCTAAATGACATCATCAGTGCTAACTTAAGGTAGATGTGAAGCATTCGAATTTCTTCATATGTAGTTCACAGCTTGTACTGTCCACTTCGATGTTGATTGGTTCTTGTTCATACATTTTTATAATGACAAAAAACTTTTTGGACTTCGTTTTTGATTTTTTGATTTAAAACAAGTATGTTTTTTGTACTGAAGCTGATGTTTATGGCCCACAATTAACATATATTTGATTGTGAATATATGTTACAACAGTACTATTGTGTGAATGTAATCATGTTTTACTTTCAAACATCCTCAGGATAGTATTTTTGAACAGTTTTATTATGTTTTTCGAAATTATACTCTGATAAAATGAACGAGCTTTATTTTAAACATTTTATAAACAACAGTTAGTGTACATACATTTCTTTAAACAGTCCATCGTTTTCAAGGTACTTGATTATAATAACTACTGTAAACAGATTAAGTTTGGCATAGATTTATCAAACACTGATACTCTGATATAATTTAGGGGATTAATGGAGAGTGCTGTTTCTTCAAACTTGAATTTATGAGTCATTGCTAGCTAGACTACCACTGAAAACCTGGAAGCACTGGATAGTGCACTGCTGTGGAGTCTCAACCTAAAAGGAAACGGTCGTCCACTGTTTTTAGGTTTTCAATAGTGTGTTATCTTGGACTGACTCATGAATTTAACTATGATATAATTCCTTTAGAAATCAAAGTTTTAGCATAGGTTTCTAGAATATTAAACCCATTCTTCCAAATGTTTTTAAGAGGAATTTCAAGTCTGGGTATTATTTGTGGAATACAAATGAAAATCACAATTGACCTTCTTAGTCTGTTATACAACTTTATTGACAGATACTGCATTTGTGATAGAGGATAGAAATTTTCTGAGCATATTAGCAATCAAATGTTTTCAAATCTCAAATCGATAAACATCAGTTTTTTATAAACTAAGGATGTATTCCTGGAAGGTGTTATACTCTGCACTATTTCTCATGAGACTTATAGGATTTCAGTCTTCATTACAATAGTTAGGTTATTTTCTTATAAGTCTAGTGAAAATGTTCTGTTATAACTTGAAAACAAACAGTATATGTTGTTTAACTCCTGTATACTGACAGTTAATAAATTTATGTTCATTTTCCGTCAGTGGACGAACCATTGTATTCATCATTTCTTTGAATGAGTGACAGAACATGTAAAAACATTTTGACATGCTGTGCATACATCACGATTTAAATATTAATGAAGAAGCAGTTAACATCATAAGAAATATTTGTACATTAAACTCATGATGATAGCTACTGAATCTTTCATCAGGACGCCATATGTTAATAAAGCCTGTTTGTAAATCACCCATATCAACCTGCTGTTTTCAAAGCTTTCCGTACAAAAATATTATTTTTATGTACAATTTAATAATATTACATGGTAACTACAGAATAATAAGAAAGAAGACTAGTTTGTTACACAAGGCTTTTGTATATTGTAATAAAACTTTAAATCACATCAACCTATCAGTATGAATGATATTTCTTTAAGTATTTTAATACTGTTTTAATAATTTAATGTAACTTAGTGATCAAGAACAGATCGAAATATCCCATCTTTATTCATCGTTTTATTATGAGTTGTAGTGAGACTAACTCTCTGTCCAAATTGATATAAGAAAGAAATAGGTTCACATTCTCGGCTTAATGGTTGAATGATGAAGGGCTAATAATTAGTTTTCAAAAATTAGATCACTGAGTAAGGTGCATTAACAGAATCGCTTACAAAATCATTATTCCAGTTCTATAATCTGTATAGTAACTGTGAAATAGTTTGGAAACATAAATCATGAAAATATTGAAATTATTATTGTATAGTTAAGAAACACATACTTAAACAATAAATAATAATACAATAAACTCACTAATATGGACTATTATCAATAAATGAATTTGAATCTAATAATGCTTCAGGTACTTCACTTTTTAAATAACCATGTGGATTTGCATTTGAACTGATCGCAAACATATATATGATAACTATATAAGATAATATAATCAAAATAAATGAAAATTATTTCATATATTAGTATATATTATTTTAATTCTTATTAAGTATTATATTGAAAATAATCAATGAAATAATCATTAGAAATCAGAACAAACATAAAGTTTATGTAAAACTTTCTTTTTAACAAATTTTAACATCTGATATGAATCAATTTGTGTTTATAATTTATTGTTCTTTGATTTCAAGTTCCCTGTATGTTAATGATTTTAATGTTGGCTATAAGCTAATCAGTGAATTAAACATATCCATTATAAAGAAGTCATTTACTATCGTTAGTATACCATCTTAAATTCATAAATCATTGTAAGTTACTGAACTTGTTAAATGGATGACTGGATACACTCTGTATTTACATATCACCTATATTTTTGCTGAGTAGTTGTAGCTCGATATAGAAAGAGGAATTTAATAAATTGACACATACTTTTCAGTGACAATGCTCAGATTGAGTTTTAAGGCATTTGCTTTATAACTTTGTAAATAATCAGAAACTGATTTCTTACAGTATATAAGTCTGAAACCATAAATGATATATCACATTTTATGAAAAATTTTAATAGATGAATTCATGAATCAATTGAAGCTAGACCAGTCGAGTTCAACCAGGTCTGTCATGAGATAGTAAAACACTGAAGACAATGGTGGACGGTGGCGTAATTTCGTGGATTAGTTGAAGTTAGACAATAACACCGTTGGTCCTGGGTTCGAATCCCGCGGATGGGAATGATCACCGCTGAGTACCGTACTAGGGCAAAACGTCCGTCCAGTGCTTCCAGGTTTTTTATGGTGGTCTAACTTCAACTGACTCATGAATCTAACTAATTATTCACTAAAATCTCCATAAAACCTCCTTCAGATGATGAATAATTGTTTTCTCTGTATTTCTAAAATCATCAGTGACTGATGGACCTTAACTATGATTGAACATTTTCTTCGGATCTTACTACTTTTCATCATTATAGAAATACATAATAAATTATTTAATTATTTTACGTGAAAAACATTTTAATTTAGCTGAAATTTTATGAAATTCAAGGATTTCAGTCTTATTCAACACATTATCCAGTTACAAGCAAAGTTTATTCTATATGTGTGTGGTGGTCGTTGTTCGATACATTCCTTAAACTCCGTATACAGTTCGTCTCAGTAACCGTCTCTAAATAACGCTCCAACGGTATATTAATCAGAAGGCGAAAACGAAGTGTTAATTACGTTTATTATAGGACCACACACAGATATCCAAAATTACAGATGCGTTAAGCAAGCATGAAATAGTTGTGCCAATAGGCAAACAGGCAAGCGAGCGGGCGAGAGAGAGCAAGGGCAAGAGCGAGCGATCGAGCGATTGAGCGAGATAGTGAACGAGCGAGCCAGTAATGAATATGAATGACATGGACATATATATACATAGTGAAATGAATGATTCATCGAGTCAATTAAGCGGTTAATAGTAAAGCTAGTAGCGTGAATAAATGTGTAGGCAGTAAGGCTTGCCGAGTATATATGTTCATACAAGCATAACAATCATAAAAGTACAATAAGTTACTATAGTGCAGGTGACTTTGTCCGTTTAATAAGTTAATAAAAGGGCTTAACCGAATTAGGTGAGAGCAAACTCAATTGAACGTGAGTTGCTATAAATGTACTCAAAATGAATCCGATAACATACGAATCATAATTTTATCTTGTTTTATTCAACAAACTAAACTGTAATCATCAAATGTTCATTTGTATCACACTATGAAGATTTGATTTTTAGTATATTTTAAACTGAAGAAGCAATATGATACTTCGTTATCAAAGAAATAAAGTTATTCTTTCATTTATTTACTGTAAACCAGATCTTAATTTCAATTTTATATTGAAATGAAAAAGTCCTAAGTAAACAGTAAATAAATAATCAAGGAATCAAAATTATTTGAATACTCTAAAACTGTTATTGAGGAAACACTTGTAAATAATTTAAAGAGAAAAGTTTAGGCTCAAAATGGAAACACAGTTTGACTTTGATTGAATTTGATGTCATGAATAACCAAGTATTAGAATATATCAAAACAGAAATGATTAATTTTCTTTAGATTTTATTTTATACTTAAACAGATTTTAGTCTAAAGAATTTCTGTGAACTAATAAACAGTTGAAAACTGTTTCGTCCCAGTATGAAACTTTTCAGCAGTATGAAATCATAACCCTACCTGAGATAACATTACAGAATCTTTAGATTTCTTTTCAAAACTTTAACTTAAAACCATTGAGTGTATACTATTTAGTTCTAATGTTATGAGCCTTCGATCACACACCACTTTTGGATGTTGACTAAAATAGTCATTTTAAAAACAGTAAACATTTCAATAACAAATTTCACTCATCTGACACCTATGAAAGAGTTTCTAAGTTGAAAAATTATAGTTAATAGTCATTTTTAATAAATAGTGTTTTAGTTAATTTAAACATGGATTGTATTATAATCAATGGTTAGACAGAAGCTTGTAAATTACAACTCGATTACTTGCAATAATCACGTCTATTTGTTTTTCTTTTAAATTACTGTTTTAATTCATAGACTGATAGGTTAAAATGATATTTGAGAAATATAGGTTAGACCTTGTTTATTTGTTCCCTAATTTAGTTAAATCTATCTGAACGTATTTAGAAGTGATGAAATCGATAATGGTTAATGAACTATAAGATGGAATGCTTCATTGTAATTATAAACATGAATATGTTTATATCATCTTATTAAGTAACCTAAACATTTAATGGGAAGTAGCACATCTATTTCACCTAGCCTTTTTTATATTTTAATCGATATTTGCCCGGTAAAAATTCCTCATCACAAAAATAATTTAAAACAAATTAATCTGATAACGGTGTTATTTATTTGGTTTTTTTTAAAAAACGGACTATTTTTTCGTAAATAGTTTTGTCTCTTATTTTCAACTCGCTTTATACCAATCACAGTAAATTAGAATTTGTGATAATGTAATCTTTCGAGATATCGGAAAATTCTTTTAAATGATTAAATAACTGTGCTACTAATATCAACATAAGTAGCATATAACGCTAGTCAGGAAAAGAATGTCTGGCAGCAGAAGCTCAAGAAGATCGAAGAACATAGAATGGGAACAAAAAGCGATTAGTATGGAAATACAAACACATTGAAGTCTGAGACAACTGACTGATATTTAGAAAGAAAACAGTTATGTTTGAGACAATTGATTGACGTTTTGCAAATTAAGTATTTACTGTATGGAACAATGAAGTCTATGACAGTTGATTAACATTTTGCCAATGAAGTATTCACTGTGTGGTTCTCAGATTTTACTAAGATGTTCTGTAATTTTGTATTAAAATACATCCGATTGTCCCTTCTTGTATTCTCAATCACTACAGTATATTGACTGAGTAATTTCTCCCCTTTGAAATGTGTAAGTTTTCTTGAAATGTAACAGTTACATAACCATTCAAAAATTCAGATGTTGTTTAAATAAGAATACATTATCAAAGAGTATTAGTAGATTAGTGAAATGAAGTCAATAACTAAGGTTATACTGTTATATGAAGTGTTTGTTTTACTGTTTTTATTTCGTTTAATCTTTAGATTCAAAACACTTAGATTAACAAAAAAAAACTCATTTTGTAATCGAAGTCTGGAATGATCAAGTAATAAAGAATATTTTAAAAATCTGTCTATTTGAATACTTCATAGAAAATATTCTTACATCATATACAGGAAGGGAAACCTTATACAAGTGCTTATAGTTTTCTTCATTTAATTAAATGAATAAATATACAAATTGGATCTCAGCTAATGAACAATAATAATACTTAAACAGAAAAAAATTGTTTTGGCACAGGTATAAATCATTGATATTGTAGAATCCCTATTTTATGATAGTTTTTACATAAAAACATTCATGAATATAATCTGATTAAAACCTTTTGTAGACCTTCACTTTATTGTTCCTTTGAATAAATTTTAAATGATAATTGTTTCTGGGGAATGTTACAAAAAGTAATTTACTCTCGGAAAGGTTTTATCTTTTTTTTTTACCTATTTTTATAGTTAAATGTAATGACCTGTTTAATAATATTCTTAATCTACCTTCTTTCATATTTATATAGTCAGTAAAGTAATCTATTTACAGAATAATATTTCATCCAATTATTTCAACTGATCCGACCTCTATTCTGTTCGATTTTTTTGTTTTGAAAATCTATCCAACGCTAAATTATTTATACAGTTTAAATGAATTTTTGAAATCACACTTCATAGTATTAATTTAATTGACCTGGAAAATATTCATTATTCATTGTTATTTTATTAATAGTTTGATTATTATTTTTAGTCTAAATAAACATTGATTTCATTTTTTTCCTCAGATATTTAGTAATTAGGTTAACAGTTGAAGTTGAATTCATATGCTTTGTAATTGATCGAAATATATTCGCAATAAAAATGTGATGAACGAGAGCATAAGTAGGAACAATCGAATGTATTTCAATATAGAAATACAGAATATCATAGCAAAATCTGAGATCCATACAGTGAATATTTCATTTGCAAAATGTCAATCAATTAGTCAAAACCTTCATTGTTCGTTTTCCATATGTCAATCAATCGTTTCAGACTTTACTAATCTTTCGTTTCCTCTCCAATCATTTTCCATTTTCATTCTCTTTACTTCGATCTTCTTAACCTTCTACCGCTAAGTATTTCATTTTGGATTGATGATACATACTTCTTGTATCCGTCGACATAAGTTGTACACTTCACAAAATATCATTAATTAAACTATTATTTTTTTACTTGTATATAGCATTCTAAAGCTAGATAATCCCAAAAATTACATTTCAAATCTAATTTTGGTACATTTTTTATTTTTTGTGTAGAAAAATATAAGGCCTTTAACACTAGGTAAGTACACAGAACTTGAATGAAAAAAACAGATTATTCACGATCAATGCTATAAGCTTTGTAAAAACACATTATGAAGTTTCCCTTTAAATAATAAGATCTTGTATAACTGGGACTCGAATTTATTGTCAGTTAATTGATCATAGATCTTGTTTTACGGTCCAAAATATATGGTATTAATTTATATGACATATTCTGAAAATTATCGCGATTATAGAAAAACAAATTCTGATTAACATCAAATGTTGTTTTTTTCTTTCTATTTAAAAGTCATTCAAATATTCAGGTTATATGGACTAATCGCCCAATATTTTTTTATGCCTACCATGTTTCATAGCCTGATATGCATATCACGTATCTTACAATAACTATTATTATTACATCGATTAGATTATAATTATCTGTAATAGTGAAAACCAGATAATCAATTTATAAAAAAATTTTATAAACAGTAGTTCCCAGTTTACGTGAATATTCGTCAATATATAAATTAAAATTTCGACAGCAACTAGATGCTGAGTAATAGAAATTAATCTTGTGAAGCAAATTATATTTTACGTAATCTCAGGAACTAGATTTGGAATAATTTCAACCGTTCATCGAAAAACCTTGTCTGAAACGCACTGAAGTAATAATCAAAATGAAAATTATCAAAATATACATATAAATATACAGTTTATAAAACAAATCTACGCTAGAATCCCACTCTATCATCTTCAGTTGCTAATTCTAGTCTAATGTATATTCCTTGATACTTTTGATTATTATACTGAAGAAGTCTAGACTGATATGTTAGGTGAAATGTTATAATTATTTAAACTTTAAATGCTGAGATTATTTCCAATATGATTTTTACAATAGTTATTTAATCTAAAATCTTACCTAACCTTCTGGATTTCTTATAAAGATATTCAATTTTGCTTAAGTCAAAGTAAATTAAATACGAAATTGCTCCTTAAAATGATCATTTTAGTCCTCTCCCAATTTCAATGTATGTTCATACAAGAGCTTTTTAATTCTTTTAAAGTCTTTTATACAGAAATCAACCATTCATAGTTTAAATTACATATTCCTTTCATAAAATATACATATTAGCTAATCCAAAATTTTTTCATAATCCTTTTAAGGAAAAATTCAAACCAGTGCATGCTTATAAGTAAAACTGTATTGGAATCATTAACATGAAATTTTACAAAACAAACAATTCAATGAAAATAGTCTTATTCTGTTGACTAGTGAGATAGTGTGATAAAATATTTAGATTAAAATTAAATTATTTGACAATACTTCTGAAATTAACTATTCATATTCATTTAACTAATATATACGTCCAGGACAGTGTTGGATGGAGAGTGTTGATGGGCGGCCTATGCTCGTCCATGAGGAGTAACAAGAGTAAGTAAGTATGTAATACATACGATGATTTAAAAATATTCTTTAACAATTAACAATAATAAAAATGAATTATTTTGACTGGTAATAAACTTTCAAGGTATATTTACACTGATCCTTTAAAAAAAACATCTATTTGAAATTATATCATAAAACCATCTCTTTGAGTAAATTATGATGAAGTCCAATTATCCAATCATCATCATATATAAACGTACAGTTTAACTTAGTAGGTAACATAATTAAAATTTACTATTGATTCTCTTCATTAATATTATTTTGTAGAAACATCATTATCACCATCTACTGTTCAGAATATGTATTTTCTTGTATGATTATAAAATTCAACATGAAACTATTCCTCTAAATAGCGTGTACCTGAATTCTTAACTTTTTGTGTTATTTTTCAGAAACTGTAATTCTATATGTTCACAATACGTTTCGTTAAGATTACTTTATATCACTAATTGATCTTTCGAAAAAAGGAAAACTCTAGTTGATTACACTAAACGTTATTATGTGAAAGAAAAACAACTTTCAAACGCAATATTATTTCACTGCAAATTGATTCACCTTTGAATGATTACCAAATAGACGACTATTCACTGTGAGTCAAAAAGTATTTGCTATGGATTGTCGTAGCAAACATCCTACGTGGATAGCTGGTCGAATCGTGTAAAAGAAGGGAAATATGGTTTACGAGGTGTCAGATGGTTCAAACGTTTGGGTGAATCATGCTAAATAAAAACAACTTCGATTTCTAGCAACAAGACACGACAAAGAACACCCTAGTCTATTAACTTAATCCTATCAATTAAATTCTAATGTGTCCATTAGTGAAGAAAGATTTTCATGATTTAACAGTCTTTACTACAGTGTAATAATACTATTATTATCATCAATATTTGGTTACGGTTCTTTACAATAAAGATTAAAAACTTACCAGTTAATAGCCGGATCATTTTGAAAAAAATACTTTTGTTACTTAAATAAGTATGGGAAAATAAATATAAATCTATCTATATATATGTATATCACTCCATACATTATATGGAGAAAATTAAATCTCTATTTATATGTTAAATATGCTGTATATTTGCAAATGAATTTCATTGGCCAGTTATTTTAATTATTTATTATTACTCAAACCAATCAGTTGTTTTACAGTTAGTAAAACACATTTTGCAACAACAACAATTCCGACTGAATTAAATGTAAATAAACAAACAAATATCAAATAAATACTAAGTAGTCTAAAGTTTGGTAAATACATAGTTTATTTGAAACAAATAACATGACATAGATAAAAACAATTAAGAAAGTAGGCATATTATTTTGATGAATATGTATTTTGAACATTAAGATTAATGACATTCTCACAAATAACTTTTACATTGTTACTAAAGTAGCAAATAAACCGTTTTCTAATCTTTATGATAAGCTGGTAAAATAGAATTAACAATTCAGTATTCGAATAGTTGAACTCATAAATCGATTAAAGCTAAACCATCATGGAAAACCTGAAAGCATTGTACGGCCGTTTCGTCCTAGTATGGGACATCTCAGCAGTGCGTATCCACGATCCCGCACACGGGACTCGAACTATTGAGTTAGTACAGTAGTCGTTGATTACTTAAGTCAATCACATCAGTGTACTGAGATTAATTTAGTGCATTCAATGCAGATTTGATTTGTACATTTCACATCATTTGGCAAATTTTACAAGTGAAGTTAATAATGTTATAAATGTCTAAGAACAATGAATCTACACAACTGCAGTCATTATATTTTGTTACAAGAAAAAGTTGTCAATAATTTATGATAATGATCTTAGTAAGTTATTAAATAATATTAAACAGTGACTCACTCAATGTGATCATGGTCTGGTAAACCCTGTTTAAGTTCTTCCACTACTCGACATTTCTTCATATATTTGCATAAGAATAAAATAATTTTAAGTATGAATTACAAAGCACAAGAACTCAAATATCAGTTACCAAAAGCGGAAAACAAGGAATAGATTTTAGATACCATTCGTGTTTGCTTGGTAGGGTCCAGGCTAGCGGATTTCTAATGATGAACTGGCAAATAATCATCTATCAAGGCCTAATACAGTTATTTATAATAAATCATGAGTCAATTTAACTCATCTATCTTGCAATCTGCTAGCCGAATAATTAAATAATTATTCAAGTAATTTTCAAATTCTACAATCTAACATTCTGATAATGGTATACCGGAAGTTATATTCTACTGTTTTATAAGTTAAAGTTCTAAAATTCTCAAAAGGATTTGAAAGCTACAAAAAAATTATTTGACTGTTTTCTGATACTGAATATCTAAATGAACAATGAGTTATAACAGCCTCTAGAGAATTACGTAAAAGTATTTTTCATTTTCCCTAAATAAATAAAAAAAACTTCTAGAACCTGAGTTGTAAAATATTGTCCATTTATTAAAAGGTGTAACTGGAATATGTCAGTTAGTTATACATATCACGTTTTTGATTATTATTTTTGATGACCATGAATAAAAATGTGAATCTGATGAAAATGAATTTACTTATAATATAAAATGACATATTTATATGTTTGCCTTAGGCTTTAGACAATTTTTTTGATTTATGCAAATTAAACTATGAAACAGCTTGCAATTAAGTTATAAAGATTGCAAACGTTTTATAGCATATCAATTTGTGATACAATTCATTGAAGGTCGGATTAAGATTTATAGATTAGAATGTCCATATGTTGCTAAGAAAAGTAGAATCTAATTTAGGATAATCTTGAAAATGAAGTTAGCACACACTGAATTTCTTCGCTAAGAAATAAAAATAAAATAACTTTACGAAGATTAGTATTAATATCTTTAATAATTGAATTCATGAGCCAATTGAAGTTAGACCATCACAGAAAACCTGGAAGCACTAGACGGCCGTTTCGTCCTATTACGGGACTCCTCAGCAGTGCGTATCCACGATCATGACTGCAGGATTCGAACCCAAGACCTATCGGTCTCGCACGCCAGAGCTTATCCTCTAGACAACGGAGCCAACATCCAACGGTATTAATGCTTAACTTCAACTAATCCGCAAAATTGGTCTGGTTTCAATTGACTCACGAAGTCAACTATTAAATTACTATAATATCCACAAAAATCTCTTTTTATAATACTTAATAATTATTCAATAGATGCTTTTCTTTTATTTATGTTTTGTAAACGGTTCTATATACTTATATGTATATTCCTTTCATAAATGTAATTATATTTGAATTAGATTTTCTTAAATGAGATTAATACAAAACAACCACACCCTATGCACAACTTACAGGAAATGTTCATTTACAAAGATAAACATTTAGATTTTTATACGAAATAATGCAGAACAATAGATTAATATATAATTTGACCTGATTTATCTTTATTTCCCATGATATTACTCTTAACAATCTGAATGACATATATTAAAACACCATATTGAACTGGTGTAAAAATATATCTCATTAAATGATCCATTGAATTCTAGGTATTTTCACCAACAACAAAAAAGATAATTTTGTGTATAAGAAATATATTTTTTTCCATACACTATATGTTACTACTTCACGAGTATTCGAGAAAGACTATACATAAAATACTCAGAGAAATCATCACTTATAGGTTGTGTATTTAGGACATAAATAGTGACATATAGTTTTGTTATTTACTATTTATCAAGAATATTCGTTAATGTTTATGGAATAATTATGAAAACTGCAATTTAGGATTTCATGTTTCTTATTTAATCTATTTCGAATAAGACTGAAAATCTTGATTTACCTTTTTCATGCTTATTTTTATAACTATACATTCCCTTAGAAACTAAATAAAATATTCGCAAGTTATAAAGGAAACATGTTATTTTCGAATAAAAAATTCACGAACCTAAGAATATTCCATTCAAACGATCTAAAAAGATATGTCTACTTATTTATTAATGTTAGTTGAGATCTCGGTCAAAGATAAATTTTCTGATTGAGATCATGAACCAATTGATGTTAGACCACCATTGAAAACCTGGGAGCACTGGATGGCCGTTTCGTCCTTTTGTGGAATTCATCGACAGTGCGCATCCACGATTCCGCCCACGGGACCCGGACACAAGACCTTCGATCTCACGCGCGAACGCCGTGACCAGTGGAGCTGATCAGTGTCGAGTGGGGACAGGTATCTAACCCAGAACAATAGAAGATGGTCACGAAATTTCGTAGATTGGTTGGGGTTAGACACTAACATCATTGAATACCGGCTCAGTGGTTTAGTGGTGAAGTATTTGCGTGCAGGATCGTGGATGCGCACTACCAAGGAATGCCGCAATAGGACAAAACAGCTATCTAGTGCCTCCAGGTTTTCAATGGTGTTCTAACATCGATCGGTTCATGATCTCAATCAAGAACTTAGTAATCTCCACAACCCCATACTGACAAATATAAATTTGCTTGAATGAATCATATCATGAAAAAAATATACTTAACTAGTTATATCAACTAACTTATTCAATCGTGAATACAGTGAATTGAATTACTGTCTTTCTCATAAAAGTTTAGTCTTCACTTGTAGTTAATTAGTCGAAATAACTTGAAACTATTTAGTTGCTCTACACGATATCTTAAAATATAAAATGTAAACATCTTATACTTAAACAATTATATGATTACCATCTATTCTCATTCTTAATTAAGTTATTCACAGTTTACCTTAAAGTTATATGTTTTGTTGTCATCTAAATCCAATATAATGAGTATTTAGTAAATCTAAGTCTTTTCGAATGTTCAAATATATCATTGATGTGATATTATACATCAAGTGGATACGTTATTATCCAGCTGATGAAGTTGCTATGCATTTTAATATAAGCATAGTAATATAGAGAATTTTTTTAAAAACAAATCAAATAAGACAATAAATGATTTTATTTTCTAACAATTTATTACAACTTTGTTCATCAATAGTCTGAATGAATTAAAGTAATAAAATTCAACATAACAAATTGAAAATTTATTATTACTGATACAGTAAGATACAAACCTTACAATGTTTTAAGATCTGCTGGAGATGAAAACATCAATCAAATACAACTTACTGAGTTACATCGATGGTAATCATGATTCTTGTACAATATTGTAATTACATTTCATAAAATTGAAAAACTGATTATAAATTTTTAAAAAGCCTATTTCATGAACATAAAATTTACTATTTATTAGTTGAATGTTGAAAGCAGGTTTAAATATGGCTGTTTGACTTGCCATATATATTAACTACATACCCTCTTCAAATAAATAATATATTATAAACATAACATCGTTATGGTGATTTTCTTGAAAACATTCATTTATAAGAATCAATCTGTGGTGTGTGCTACTTATATTGACATAAGTGGTGTACGACGTTAGTTAAGAACAGAATGTCTGGCAGTAGAGAGACGAGAGGATTGAACAGTAAAGAATGGAAACAGAATGCAATTTGTATGAAAATCCAAGAACAATGAAGTCTGAGTCATTTTGAGACAAATGATGGACATTTTGCAAATTGAGCATTTACTATATGGTTGTTGTATATACATATATTAACCAAATACTCTGTTCAAATAAATGATATTTTATAAACATAGAACAGTTATGGTGATTTTTTATCGAAAACATTAATTTTTAAGAATCTATGTATCTTGATGACATTACATTGTAAATAATTGCTACAGTATCATTTTTAAATAAGCATTTTTATTTTCTCTCAGCCAACCAAAGCCAGAACTCATTTACGGCATGCGTTCATATACATCTTTTAGTTCATATTCAATGGGATAATTAAACCAGAAATATTATTTAGTTCAAGTTTTAAAGTAGTCATATTTAAGCAAACATAACTGTGATACATCTTATGTCTAATGTTAATTTATATCCTTGTTTTGTGTCATTTATTTTGATTATGTACTTAAAGTGTGATAGTACATTTAACGAAACATCTAAAGGTTTTTAACTGTTTCTATTAAACAAACTTAACATT